TGTGAATTGAATCCGGGTCCTCTGCAAGTGCTTATGGCTCTTTCCCAAGCTTTGAAAATGTTCTCTTTCTTCCACATTAAGTCTGTCCCCATTTGAACTTGAATGAGCGTTGTCCTATAAATATCGTTCCCTTTCTTGGAAGTAGACCCTGATTCTTAAGACCATCAGGGTCCTTCCTCAGCACCAAAGACATCAAGTCTCTAATTCTTTGAGGAAATGAAGATGCTGATTTTTATTAATTTACTCTTTGAAAAATTTCATGCATGAATATAATACATTTGGGTCACTTTCATCCCTCCACCATCCTTCCCCTCTCTGTGTCTTTTTTGTCTGTGAACACTTTACTGACTTCTGGGTTTGAGTCTTTAACATACTGTTTATAATTTTGGATAATTTGTTTAATCTCCTTGCACCTAAATCTTCTCTTTGTAAATTGAACATGACTAACACCAAGCAGGTCATCATAAAGACTAGATGAGCTAAAACATGAAAAGTGCTTCTACCAATACACGCAAGTACAAGACATTTACTCTAGTTACTACTAAATGAAAAAAAAAAAACTATATAACCCAGGCTGGCCTCAGTGTTCTTGCTTCAGCTTCCCAAGTACTGGCAGTAGCCAGAAGGGACATCCTTCCTGCTTTATGTTGATTTTTCCATGTATTTTGTCCCAGCAATAATCACTAGCATGGCATTCCTATCTACTACTCATCTTTAATTTTTGTGTGTTTAGGTAGAGTTTCATTTTCATCATCAATATCCATTCTTTACAGTGTCACTTTTGAAAGACTATTACCTCATCATTGAACTGCATTAAGTTTGGGTTTAGTATATAATGTATTAATTTTATTAATTAATTTAAAATTTGTTTTCATCTTCCTGATTTCCTGGGGTTTTGTTGTAACTACTGTTCTCTTTTTAATCCATTGAAACAAATACCTCCTTTATTTTTGTTTCTTTTACACTTGAAAGAAGTAATGATATTACTTTGCCTCTGAATATTGCTACCTTTATATGATCATTTTCAAAGTGTTTTACAATTGGTTATTTGGTTCTATGTTTAGTAAAATGGTTTGGTTTTCTTTTCATTGCTAAATTATTAGGTTGTATTGTTGCTAAAAGGTATATAATTTGAAAGTAGAACTGTGTATATTTTCTGCTTTGTGGAATACATTAGGTTTTGTAGCCTCACATATGAACTATTCCTATTGATAGTCTCTAAACGTCATATCTGCTATAGACTTATGTATAAACATTGAATCACGTCTGTTACTTACATTATTTAAAACTGTGTCCCTGTCAATACACTGTGTGCTTGACCTGTTGGAAATGAGTCAGTCATGTTCCACTAGCACCCACCATTGCTCTGAAAGCCTGCATTGAGGCTATGACATTGACATGTGGTTTCCCGGTGTCTTTTCTCAAGGGCTTTGCTTTATGGATGAAAAATGACCAAGTGGTCTTATTTACTATGCTTTGGTCTTAACTCTTCTTTATCTGAAGTTTAATTTCAAATCCTTATTTCCATGGTTTTGTGTTTGCTTTTTTTCAACCTTTTATACTCAAAGTTTTCTTTTAATTTTTCAAAAAATATTATTTTTCTTTATATGTAGGTGTGTTTTTCTTTCATGTGTGTGGGGGTCCCAGTAGAGGTCAATGAATTTCTTGGAGCTGAAATTACAGGCAGTTGTGAGCTACCCAACAGGAGTGCTGGGAATCAAAGTCAGGTCCTCTGGAAGAGTAGCCAGTGCTCTTCACTGCTGAGCCATCTCCAGCCCAGGACTTTGTTCCCTGACTACATCATTAGGAATCTAATGATATTCCTAAAGTAATCCCCGTGAACATGTGTTGTCTGATGCTTGTCACAATTTCTCTGATTTTTATAATTATTAATTCTCCTCATTGTTTTCTAGAAAAACTGTTTTACAAAAGTATGGAATGTACATATAATTTTTAATGACATCTTCAGTTAGCTTAGTATATCAAAAGCACTTGGGCGGACATTCATCTCCTATCCTGGAGAAATGAAGACATCTGGTCTCCTCCCATGTGCATCACAACACTCGGCCGTCCTTGACCCCCAGCTTTCCTGCACGGTTCTCCTGCTGGTCAGCTTCACCCCAGAAATTAAACTCCACTCTTGCTGTCACTGATCCATTATTCCCATAGTTTAAAACCTGACATGCTCTTGTCAGAACTGGAAGCAGGGGAAAAAATGAATCTAATTTGAGTTTTCCTTCCTCAGGGTGCTACCCATGATATGTCACCTGAAAGTAATTATTTTACATGTATGTACATTTCAAAGGATCTGCATGCTTCTGGGACCAGTGTTCCTTATACCTTAGGTTTTAGTGTTTTGTTTCAGGTACAGGTAAACCCCCATGAAAAGGACAATAAGCGCACTTTGCATATCTCATTATAAACCTTGTTGGCTTGAGAATGTAAAGATCTGATGGGAATCCGAGCCCTTCACACACCTTTTCCCAGGAACTCCCAGAGGCAAGCATAAAAGGAAGCTATGGTTGTGCCATCACTAGGTGCTCTGTATTTAAATGTCATAGTAGAAGTCAGAAATCTATGAAAAGCCAGGATTCTCTTTTTTCTTGAAAGGAAGGGATGACATCACTACCTCTAATGTAAAAGGAAAAGAATAGACAGGAAGCAAGTTTGGTCAGGGGTCCTCTTCTGGCTGCCTGGAAAAAGATAAAGAAGGCAATTTCCCAAAGCAAGGAGGTGAGCCCTTAGGATGAGACTGGCCCTAACTTAATCCAAGCAGGATGACTTATAAAGAACCTTCCAGTTAAGCTCTAGGGATCCATTCAGAAAGATATAAAGAGTGCTGGATAATACTCTTGTACACTGTAAAGATTTGTCACTCACATTGGTTTAATAAAACACTGATTGGCCAGTAGCCAGGCAGGAAGTATAGTTGGGGCAGCCATACTAGGAGAATTCTGGGAAGAGGAAAGACAGAGACTCAGTCATCATCCAGAAGCAGAGGAAGCAAGGTGGGAATGCCTTACTGAGGAAAGGCACCAAGCCACATAGCTAAACATAGATAAGAATTATGGGTTAGGCCAGGCGGTGGTGGCGCACGCCTTTAATCCCAGCACTTGGAAGGCAGAGGCAGGTGGATCTCTGTGAGTTCGAGACCAGCCTGGTCTACAAGAGCTAGTTCCAGGACAGGCTCCAAAACCACAGAGAAACCCTGTCTCGAAAAACCAAAAAAAAAAAAAAAAAAAGAATTATGGGTTAGTTTAAGTTGTAAGAAGTAGTTAGTAATAAGCCTGAACAATAGGCCAAACAGTTTATAATTAATATAAGCTTCTATGTGTTTATTTGGAACTGAGCACCTGGTGACTAGGTAGGGCAGGAACTTCTGTCTATGTAAGTTAATCAGAATAAAGTTTTTGTGAGAAAGGTTTTTTTTTAAAAAAATTTGCCTAGAAATTTATAAGCATGACAAACTAAAAGTCCCATTTTCTTGTTAAATGATGCACTGGTGTCTCTTCTAATAAAAAGAGTGTTTTATAAAGCAAAGCACAGTTAAATGGAAAGGTTCCACAAAACATCCACTATAAGAAGCTATCCACACAAGAAGCTTGTCACACAGTGCTTTGGGAAGAGGGAGGGAAGGAAAGACACACAACAGGCCCAAGGCAGCTCTTAGCCACTCCCACAGTAAGCATGAAGCTGAGATGACCTTATGCAAATAAAGACAGCACTTTCATTTCCCAGCTTCTCAGACCTGAATAATCACACTGAAACTATATTCATTACAACACTGTTTGGCTGATGGCTCAGGCGTATTTTTAGCTAGCTCTTATATCTTAAATTAACACATTTCTATTTGTATGTCACCATGAAGCTGTGGCTTATTGATAATGTTCTGGCGTCTTTCTCTTTTGGCAGATACATGTGTCTCCTTGACTCCCTCTACTCTCTCTATCTCTGTTTGAATTTCCCACATGGCTTTACTCTGCTAAGCCATTGGCCAAAACAGCTTTATTCATTAACCAATAAAAGCAACACATATATAGAAGAACATCCCACATCAGCATTGTTCCTTTAGCCCAAGTTGAGATGAAGGTGGACGCCCTTCTCTGAGTTCAAAACCATGGGCAAGGTGACTCTCATTTAAGGCGCATTATCTATAAGGGTTAAGACCTGGGAGCCACCAGTGAGAAGTTAAGAAATGCAGTCCTGGAGGAAGCCTGCCTGGGCAATGCATCTACCAAGGCTCTGTTGTAGGCTACATTCAGGCCACACTTCCTCCAAGAACACTATACTCAGCTGTGATCTTGTCATTGCCCTCCTAAACTCTCAACAGTTTCCATTACCCAGACTAGACACAAAACTGGGCCCATTAATGTTCCGTTACTGCTGGGCCTAAATTCTCCCTGATGAATATTGCTGGGAGGGAGGAGCTTACAAGGCCCTATCCCTCCTTAAGGATTTTATGATCAGTTAATAGTTGCTGGGAAATATATTCAGCCATATAGCCATTGGTAAGTTCCCGTTGCTCCTGGGAGTAACCTAATGAAACTAACTGACTCACCACCCTATACTAGGTGGAACTGTTTCTTTTGTCTGATATTGGTGGATAAATACAAGTTTGTTAATCTCCCTAGGAAACATTCACACAACACCCACCCACTGTCTTTGGATATCACCCAGATACCCAATACTCTTTTTAACTTGACAACAGATTGCCTCTGACATCTAGAACTATATATGTAGTTGATTGTTTGATAGCTTCACTTGAAAGGCTTAAAGTCATCAGAATCTCAACATGTACCAAACTGAACTCATGGCCCCTACTATGGACTTCATGTTTTTGTAATTAAGAAAGTGTATGTGCAACAATCAAATTCTTATTGGACTTGTATTTGGAGGAGGTGGGTCTTTGGAGAGGTGATTATGTCATGATATTGGGCCTTTATCACTCACAGTCTTATAAAGGGTCCTCAGGAGCTCCCTGTTTTTTCTTCCCCTTCTAGATTTTTATTTCTTTAAAAGAAAAATTATATGAGAAGTCAAGAACCTGCATAAGGAAAAGTGACTATCCCCCAACCATGCTGGCATGACTTTGTATTGCTAACCTCCAAAACCACAAGAAACACATCTGTGCAACTTGTTAGGACTTAGGCTGTGGTCCTGACATCCTGAATGGCCTGAGGGAGCGTCTACTTCACACCTGCTCCTTGTTCAGCCTTGCACCATCTAATAAATTGTGCCACCCCCACCAGGATTCAAGCAGATCCTGGTACCTCCTTTCTCACTTCTTTTCTAAACACTACCTGATAACTCTTCCTTTCATATCTCCCTCTAATCAATTCCCTCTCTCCATCATCATGATTCCACTTTAGTCCAATTCCTCTCCCTACCTAACAAGTCTCTTCACAACCATGTTGTCTTGCTGCATTGAATACATTAAAACTCATGTTGGAAATGCATGGCAATGTAACGATATTGGGTTGGTAGGACCTTTTAAGAGGTATTTGGATCATGGGGTACCACTATGAATAGATCAGTGTAGTTGCGATGAGCATGAGCAGTTTTTCCCCAAAGCAGATTGTTGCACAGGTGATTCAGTTCCCTCTGCTTTCTCTTGCTCATCCTCTACAGACACCCATTTGCCTGTTCTGCGTTCTATCAACCATGAGTTGAAGCAGTGGGAGATAACCACCAGAAGACAGGCTGATATGGGTTGAATATGCGTCTCCAGGAGGTCCATATGTAAGGGCTTTTCCCATGGGGTAGTGGTTAGATGCTGTGGACCCTTAGGAGATGAGCCTAGTAGCAGATCCTTACATCATTGGTGATCCTTACATCATTGTGTGCTTCTGATCACCTTTCTATTTCTTGACTTTTGATGTGAGCACTGTCTCTAAAATGTGCTCCTGCCACAAGGCACTACACTCATCAAAGACCCAGCCCCATACAGCTTCCAGATCTGAGTTTGAATTTCCAAAAAAAAAGTAAACTAAGCAGCCCACAGTGACATGCCCTATCAGATGTCAGCTCCAGCCTGTTCCCCAGTTCCATCACTTTTGATGCATGTTGTGGGTCCCTTGTGCCTGGATAACCTGTTCAGGTCAGATCCTGCCAGTGTCCTGTTTCTCCTATGTACTTTGTCCCTCTGAAGACACTTTAGTCGTTATACATAATGGTTTTTTGGTGATTAGCATAAAACTAAAAAAATAATTTTATCAAGTCTAATGTGATGTTGTAAAATGACATCATAATGAGGCTAGAAGAAGAAGTTCAAATAATGGTCCATAGTCCTTACTCATAGAGGCCAGAAAGATGGCTCAGTGGACAAAGTACTTTCGAGGACCTGAGTCTGGGACCCCAGCACTCACATAAAGACTTGGGTAGAGCTGTCCTAGCCTGTAATCCTGTCCAAGAAGGTGAAGACGGTGTTGCGAGGTACTCCTCCAGAGAACACAAGGACAAACTTAAAACTAAATAGCCTCTATTCTCACCAGTCAATGATTACAGAGAACTTGCCCAAATCATGCAGCCCAAAGCTTTGTTGTTCTCTTGCTGTCTTTGCCTTTTTAAGCACAAAACCCATATCCTGGTTTGACACATTTCAATTAGCAAGAGCAGTTAATATAAACAGAGCTACAGAGGTCAAGAAACCAAGGTTAGTACATTTAAGGGACTTTCCCAGATCTGTGGATGATGATGGATTAGGTCTTGGTTCTTGTGTTGGGAGGTGTTAGGTTTTTAGGTCAGAATCATGCCTCTAACATGGCATCAGTTGTGCTAAGTATCGGGGCCTGTTACATCCCCGCCAGTTCTATGGGCATAAGTCAAGCTGTGGACTCATCGGACAGAAGATTATATCATCCCCCTCAGTACTAAACAAATAACAGAATTTACTTTCCATCATACATACTTTTAAGTAAGCAATTGAGTGAAGTTGTACAGTGAGGTCCAGGAGCAAAAGGACTAATGGCCCAGAAATAGCATTAAGTAGAGTTGTTAACCAGGGGACCAGGTCTCTTGGCATTTCATCTCTCTCCAACCATGGCTAAACTTTCTCTAATTACCCCTGGCTGGTGGGCATAGTATCAACAAGTTTCTCCCAGTGCCATCCAAAAACTCCCTGTCTCATGAAGAGGTCCAAACCTCTTTGATTCTGAAGAGCAACCTCTTCTAGGGAGTCTACCTGGACTTTCAGATGGGAAATGAAATTTTCCAGATGGCTTCGGTCTATGGCTACTTGAGCACTGAGGTTCTTGAACCTTTTACCCTCCATAACTAGGGCTGAAGTTCCAACTACAGCAGAGTCTGTGATCTTTAACACCTACATATAGTGCGAATTCTAATTGGTTTTAATAATAACAACCCGGAGTCAGATATTGGGGGGGGGGGGGATGTAAGCTGAAAGATCAGAGATGTGGCGGTTGGATTAATGAGGTCCAATGATAATAGGTATTTGAACAAGTTTAATGACAAAACCAGACTCACGAAACCAAGGTTCCAGCGGAGTACCCGGAGCAAGCAGGAAGGTGCGCGCCCAATTTATCAGTAAACATACGCCCGAGGGCAGCCCACCCCCAAGGGGAGGGCTTATCCCTACATCTCCCTCTTTTTGTCTAAATAAGACAGAACTAACCCAAATACAACTATAAACAATAATAATAAATAATAGATATAACAAACAATATTGAGAACAAAAGTTTTGCCAGACATTCAATCTCAAGGAGTCTAAATAATGTAGAGAGTAATTACAATTATATAATCTTCAACTCCGTCAAAGATCCGAGAAGGGAATAAATATTACTTAACAAATGAGCGATATCCAAAGCGTGCCATAAATGACAGAGACAACAGACTACCTGGGCAATCACCCAAATTCTCGTTCGCAATGTTGAGTCAACCAACTTTGGCTAAGGCCTAGCATGACTGACATACCATTATCAAATGCAAGGAATTTTCTTAGAATTATCCTACCCTGTCTTGGCAAGATAAGAAAATCCTGTTTCATATCTTTGTCAGTAGATGAGGTATGGGCTTTTCTTAACCCAAAGGCCAATTCTGCCAAGAAGACAAACTCCCAGTGGAGTGTCTTTGGTGCTCAACGTTCTCTCGGGAGTAGAGTGGTGTCGCCAGGAGTAATTGTGTCTCGGCACAGAATTCTAGGTTAGCTTAAAGGCCATTTTCTACAGCTCTTTAAAGAGGCTGAAGATTATACTATCTATACTAAATATAATCTCTATGTATCTAGAATACCTTATTAACCTAAAAATAAACATGAACAACATAAAATTCTCAATACCTATCTAACTTGAAGACTAAAAAAAATAAACAACTGTGCAATACATGAAGACAATGATCTTCATCTGTAAACAATGTCATTACATATCAAATGTAAACAATGTTATTACATAAATAGTATCAGAGGTAGAAATGTACATTGTGATATGGTAGATGTATCAATACAATATAAGTATACTCTTATACAAAAATAGAGGTAGGAACACTCACATTCAATATTCAATATGTCAATATACAGGAAACAGTACCAATACAATTTTCTAAAAACAGTAACTCACAAATACCAATCATCCCATCAAACCAGTTAATCCCCCTTTTTTTTTTTTTTAACATACCCCTAACTCCATAAAACATCTCCCCATCCCCTCAACCCCAAACCAACCACTAAAAGATGTCCCTAACCCTGAGGGCAAACTCTGTTGGGGGAGGGGACGCCGTCCTCTAAGATTGCTTCAAGCTGACATGGGGGCGATGTTCTCCTTAGGGGCTCCTGTGAAAGCAAATGATGGTAAAATTCCCAAATTAACCTTTGGCCTAAGAAAATTATAACTAGTCCCTGAGCGCTTTGAGAAGGTCCGGCCAGAGTGTCGTCAAAAAATGTGCACCATTCGAAATTGTCTTGTGCAGTTGGTACCAAAAAAAATTATTAGCACGTAGAAAAGAGAAAAAAAAAAAAAAAAATATATTCAATATATTCATGACGTCATAAAAACCAGGTTGAGTTGATGTTGTGGGGCCCCATCTTCATCCTGGAAACTTCAAAAATTACTGTAGGAAAATTTGTTGCTTGTTATGGGAAATTTAGACACTAACAACAAGGACATATACTGACATATAAAGAAAGACACAGATACGAGGAAAAGCAAAAACAAAAAACAAAAAACATATATACATAAATATATAAAAAATCAATACTTACGGTATGTATATAATGTTAGTTGATCCTTAGTAGGTCGTAACTATTATCCATCCATCAGTAATTAAATATTCAGGGTCCCTTAAAGTCTTTGAAGATCAATATTTTCCTGTGGAGATAAGAAAAGAACCCTGCCCCCAACCTATCTGTATTCCTTACCATCAGTATGCTCGCCAACCTTGTGAAAGAATTGTTATTTATCTTTTCCAAATGGCTTTTCTTCTTCATACCGAACCTTTATTAGTTTTGTCGGTATCCACAATTGTTCCTCACCTGTGGAGATAAGAGCAAAACCCCTTCCCCAACGCAGCACATCTCCTGGTTTCCATTGTGAGGTCAGCACATCCTTGAAATAAACTGGTTGATTTAGTTCAGTAGACTTTTCCATTATCCAATGTCTTTCTGCAGCCGTTGTCCCCTTCTCATTAGCGTTAAGAAAATTCAAGGTTAACAAAGCATTATGTAACCTATTTCTGGGGGTGTTTTCCACCCCTTTCTGTTTATTCAACATATCTTTTATAGTTCGATTTGATCTTTCTATGACTGCTTGACCTGTAGGATTGTATGGTATACCTGTAACATGCTTGATATTGTAATAGTCAAAAAACCGTTTCATTTTCCTAGAGGCATAAGCAGGACCATTGTCCGTCTTTATTTGTGTAGGTATACCCATGATAGCCATGACTTCTAATAAATGAGTGATTACTGAATCAGCTTTTTCTGAACTTAAAGCAGTTGCCCACTGAAAGCCTGAATAAGTGTCAATGGTGTGGTGAACATACTTCAATTTGCCAAATTCTGCAAAGTGGAACACATCCATCTGCCAGATTTCATTCCTATGGGTGCCCTTTGGATTAGCCCCTGCTGGCAGTGGCGTTTGGTTATAGAAAGAGCAAGTAGGGCATTTCTTTACAATCTCCTTAGCCTGTTGCCATGTAATAGAAAACTCTTTCTTCAAACCCTTGCTATTAACATGATGTTTTTTATGAAATTCAGAGGCTTGTAGCACACTACCAATCAATAACTGATCAATGTCTGCATTACCTTGTGCTAGAGGACCTGGCAGACCCGTATGGGATCGGATGTGTGTTATGTACATAGGGCAGAGCCTGTTCCTGATCAAATCTTGAACCTGGATAAACAATGAGGTTAGTTCTGTATCATCAGGTATAAATTCAGCAGTTTCAATATGTAAAATAACTCTTTCTGCGTATTGCGAATCAGTAACTATATTAATAGGTTCTCTAAAATCCCTTAGCACCATAAGAATGGCATATAATTCTGCCTTCTGGACAGAATCATAAGGACTTTGTTCCACCTTACCCAAGTCTTCCGATTTGTAACCTGCCTTCCCTGT